CATCCCCCACCCACTCAAAAAAAGGAAAACATCAATCAAAATTATATTTTAACCTTTTTTTCTTTTTTTTGTACAAAAGAGAGAGAGAGAGAGAGAGAAAAGGAAAACTTTTTTTACATTAACGATCGGGGCGAATCGTTTGTTCGTCTCAAGACGAAAAAAAAAAAAAAAAAGGGAAAAAAGGGAAACCGAAAGACTGATTTACAAAAAGGCAGAAAGAAAAATCAAAAAAAAAAAAAAAAAAGGAAAAGTAGAAAAGAGAGAGAGAGAGAGATGGAAAATTTCCGAGTTGACATAATGGAAAAACGTGGATGGAATTGAGATGATGACCGAAAGAAAGAAAGAAAATAGAAATGAAAAGGAAAATTCAAAAGTGAAATTTTCTTTTCCTGACATTTTTCTCTTCCCCTCCCCCCTCCCCCCTCTCTCTCTCTTTTTCCCTACTTTCTTTTTTTAACCTTTTACTTCCTCTTTTCCTTTGTCAAAAACAGAAAGTTAAATAAATTTTTTTTTTTTTTTTTACTTTATTTTAAAATTCATTAAAATATTTAATGAATAATTTTTCACAAGGTAGCTCGAAATATAAAAGAAAAAAATCTTCTTATTACACGACGATGACGTCAACGACGATAAAAATAATATCAAACGATATTAAAATTTATTATTATTATTATTATTATTTTTAAATTATTTAATAAAGTACAACGATCGACGAATCAAAGCAGAAGATTCGTAATTTTGCGATAAAAAAAAAAGAAAAAATTTAATTCAAAATGGCGGAATCACTAAAAAATTTTCTTTTCTATTTCGAATTTTCCTTTTTTTACTTATGTTATTATTATTATTATTATCATTAACACCGATAAAAAAAAAATTCATCGCGCTGGAATTCAAATAAATGATAATGATACTGATAACGATAATAATAATAATAATAATAATAATTCCTATCGAATAAAATAGTATCAATGAGACTTACGAGATTTGCTGTGACGTCAGAGGTTACAACAAGACGAAGCTTATTCGTCAGGCGAACAACATCACTGACTGATATTCTTTAGGGATCGACGAGTAAAAACCTGGAATGAATGTTGAAAAATAAACATTAAGACGAATCGTCGCGATTATGAGTGAAAGCAGTAATAATAATAATAATAATAATAAATAATTCTACGTAAAAAATTTAGGGTAATCCTTTCATCACGTAAAGAAAACTTTCCCTTTTTTTTTTATTTTTTATTTCCGGAAGAAAATTCTAGTCGTTTTATTATTGTTTTGAAAAATATATATCTTTAAGGGTTTTTTGAAAATTCTTACGGATGATGAAAAACAACAACAACAACAAAAACAGCAACAGCAAAAGCAGAAGAAAAAGTAGAAGAGGAAAAAGCAACGGCAGAAAAAATTTGCTTAAAGGCATCGAATTTTTCTTCTTTTTCTGCCTATTTTTTTTCTTTTTTTTTTGCCATTTCTATCGCGGAAAATGGGTCGCGGGGGGAAGAAGGGTAGGTAGTGGTGGTAGTAGGGGGCGGGAATGGTGTGATGGGGGGGCGTAGGAGGGTGAAATAAGAAAAAAAACGAATCAAAAAAAAATGGAAAGAAAAACTTTTTAATTTTTGGAATTTTTTTTTTTTTTCTCCCCGTATTTTTTTTTATTTTATTTTTTTTTCGTATCGAACGTTCCAGTAATAAATTTTTTCTTTATTCTTTTCATTTTTTTTTTTTTTTATTTTATACGTTTTTCCTTTTTTTTTTTTTATTTATTCATAAAAAAAAGCTATAAATAGATTTTTTTATAAAGCTTACGTTGTTTCCTTACGGCGACCTCAATTAAATTTTCCTTCCTTTTTTTTCTCTCATTCATTCATTCATTTATTTTATTTAACTTAAAAAAATTTAATTAAAAATTAGAAAAAGACAAAAAATATAGATATATGTGGAATGTTACGTGTTCGCCTACGCACGCACACGCACACGCACACGCACAAATAAATCTCTAAAAAAAAAAAAATTTCGATTAATTTTAAAAAAAATTTCCCATCATCATCATCATCATCATCATCATCAACGTACAAAGATTAACCTTTTTTCCTTTTGCACGAAACTCGAGAAATTTAAAAAATTTTTTAATTAACGAAAAAAAAAACGAACAAACGAACAAACAAACAAACAAACGAAACTAAAATAAAATAAAAATAAATTCTTTTGAAAAAAAACCTTTTGTTTTTCGAAAACTAAAATGTTTGTTTGTTTGTTTGCTTTTTTTCCTCACTCCCGTTTGCTCCGTTTGTTCTGTTTGTTTTCTTTTCATCATTCTTTTTCATTTTATTTATTATTATTATCATTATTACTTAAAAAAACAAAATTGCAAAAGCTAATTATTTGACTTAAAAAAAAATTATTATTTAATCGTTGGCAAAAAAAAAAGAGGAAAAAATTTTAATTTATTTTAAAATGAATTACTCGTCGTCTGCTAAGACGAATGGAAAAACGATGGAAAACTATGGAAAACACGCAAACCGTAAAAAAAAAAAAATTTTTTTTTTTTTTTTAAAATTTTAATAATAAACAATATTATTATTATTATTATTATTAAGAGTTATGTTAATGTCGTAAAAGTTAAAGTCAAATAAAAATTTTATTTATTTATTTTTTCATTTTTAAATAAATAAATAAATAAAAATCCTTCGTCGAAACTTCTAGAAAAAAAAAAAAAAAATCCTTTTAAAAGCACGTGATGAAAACGCATTTAAATTTACCTTAAATCCGATTATTATTATTATTATTATTATTATTAAATAACCGTCGAGGTTTTTAAAAAGATTTCGAAGCCGTGCAAAAAAAAGCAAAAAAAATTTCCCATCAATTTTAAAAAAAAATTTTATTTAACGAATAAACGGAAACGGGAGGAAAGGGGGAGGGGGGAAAACATTTCCGGTAATAGCTTAAAAAAAACCGATAAATACATAATACGCAACACAAAAAAGAAAAAAAAAAAAAAACGTCGAGTTTATTTTTTTTGCGTATTTAATAGTTAATATTAATTAATGGGATTAAACCGACTTGCTTATTAACGGAAGTGACGTCAGACGGGGAAAAAGTGGAAGAAGAAGCGATGGAGTGAGTATTGATGGGGGAGGAGTCAGAATGGGGAAAGGGACGTGGCACGATTTTTGTATGACATCATCAGACGACATTTTTTTTTTTTATTATTGAATTAATTATCGTTATTAATTTTTGCGTGTGCGTGTGCGTCTACGTTCCAAAAAAACGACGATTATAAATTATAAATTAAAATTATTTCATTAAATTAAAGAAAATATGGCGGTGTAAAATAGATTTAGAATAAGAAAAAAAATTGTAATCCTTGTCGTACGATAATAAATTTGCTTTCACAGCGGAAACCCCCCCCCCCGTCCTTTTTCGCAACCGTTTGCGTTTCGAATTTTTTTTTTTTTAACTTTTGAAAGAATAATCGTTATAACCACGTGATCTTTCATAAGTTTTTTTTTTATTTATTCGTACATAAAGAAAATAAATTAATTTGACATTTTTACTCTGACGTGCGGTGGTATTAAAGTAAATAAAAAAAAAGAGAAAAAAAATTGAAATCTTACCAAAATAAATACGAAATATTTTAATTCCGTTTTCTTCTACGATTAAATTTTTTTTACACAAAATGTTTTTTTTTTTTATTAATTTAATAATGCGTGTGATAAAATAAATTTATAAAACGTGAATTAACTTATTAAAATCACTCGCGACAACTAATCATTATTAAATATAAAACGAATTTTAATAAAACCGTTAAAAAATTTCAAATTCGATTTGTCTGTGAGTGTGTGTTTCCCCTATGAAAATTCGCACGCGACTAACTTAAGACTCTCACAAAAGATGCGTGGCGGCAGAAACGTTAAATTAAAAACAAAAAACCGCAACCATTTTACTAAATACTACTGGACATATTTTTTTTTTTATCTTGTTCATTGTTCAAGTTATTTTTATATCCCATTTTACGTGAAATAATCCATAAATCGTGTGAATACATTATTTTCAATAAATAAATAATTTTTGTTTTGTGTGATTGTAACTGTAAAAACATGATGAATTTTAAATTTGTGAAAAACATTTAAAAATTAATAATCACGCCATTAATACCTAATTTTTTTTTTTGTTTTAAATAATAATAAATTAAATCAAATCTTATTAATCTATAAAGGGTTTTAAGCAATTTTCATTTCATAATAATAAATGATCATTTTGTTTTATTTTGTTCAAAGTGAATCGTTTTGAAATTTCCACATGTTTCATATAATAATAATAATAATCACAATATACATTCTATTAATGTTTAATGTACAATAATGTCTACCAATTAAACTTTTGAACACATTTTTTATATCATAATTAATTAAAATAAAGATATTATTAATAAAATACGAATTACATTCATTAACTTTTAAAATGTATGTGTTGAAAAATATTTTTTTCGAAAAATTCCTAAAGTTGTTATTTTTTTTTTAGGGGAATAAAAAAAGATATTTTCATTCTGTTAATTTTCATTTCTAGCAAATTTAAACACTAAAGTGAATAGCTTTTAATTTTCTTAAAAGCTTTCTCAAATTAATAAAAAACTATTAAAATTAAATCGAATAACTTAAGCGTTTGAGTGTGTAAAAATCTAGAAATAGTAAATATTCGAAAAAAATAAAATTATTTTTTGGCAAATGATATTTTCATAGCATGTGATGGAGTTATTTTAAATCCTTGTAATGCATCTTTAGCTGCTGCCGATTGAAGTTCATTTTCAAATTCGACAAATGCTATATCATGACGATTAGGTACCAATCTAACTTCTTTGAATCCAGGAAATCTAAAAAAAAAAAAAAAGTAATTTTTATTTTCCAACTTTTCTCGAATGAATCAATATGTTTATTTTGTGGAGTGTGATATCATAATTTTCAAAATAATTAATTAAAATTTATGTTTTAAAAGTATACTTACTGATTAAATAACATAGAAAGCATCATTTCACTAGTTTCATCAGGAAGATTTGTTAAGAATAAAATTTGATTAGGCGGCTGTTCAGGCACTGGACCAACACCTACAAAAGTTTTTGAATTACAATAAAAATTAACTTTTAGTTTAATAAATTCGAATGAAATAAAAAAATTGTATCATATTTAAATTATTAACCTTGTAAATTAGACAACATTGCAGCAGCATTGTATTGTGCCATTCCGTGAAGTCCATCGAAACCCATTCCTAACCTTCCATCTATTTTATTGGCATTCTTTTTAGCTTTCTTCTTCTCAGGATCTTCTTCTCTTGCAACAGGTGCAGGTTTTTTAGGCTTTTTGGGTCTTTCAGAATATGTGCCTTTCATTTTTGCAATTATATCAGAATCCGTTTTACAATACTGTATTCTCTATAAAAATCGATTTATAACTGTTAACATTGTACACTTAATTTTTATATAATAGAGATACAATAATTTAGCAAAATCATAAAGAAAAATATATTAGAGTTACTATACCATTGGCTTATCATAAAAGGGAAAACCCTGCATTGACATTAAAGCTTTTGTCGCAGAATTAATTTCCTTAAATATGACAAAGGCTTGACCTTTCATTCTCAGTGTTTTTAATGCTACTATGTCAAGAATCTGCCCGAATTGAGAAAATATGGCATAAAGTGACTTTTTAAGTTCTAAAAATTAACAAAATAAAATAATATTTGCACTGTAATACATCATAAATAATAATAAAATAAAAGAACATATTTATATATATATACACTTACCATCTTTTTTGAGTTTTTCATTCAAATTATTAATATAAATAGTATGATTTGGTCTAATATCCATACTGAATTTCTAATTATGTGAATCCTGAAATTAAAAATTTAATTTAATTAGAGAAATTCTTATAAATAAAATAAAATTAACAGAGTTTAAAAAATTAATGTAAAGTGCGGTTATACAAAGCCGGTAAATAAAGTAAATTGAAGAACACTAAATTTGTACTCTGTTAAAAAATTATAGCAATAAATATTTATTTAAACAAAAATAATAAAAATAAATATTAGCAATTATTACGGTAGTAAAAGTTAAAAAAATTATTTATAAATTTTCATTTACCTAAAATATAGTAAACAAGACGCATCGATGTTCCGGAAGTTTTTAGAATTTTCGTTTTGACGTGGTTCTAGTCTTTACTTAAGTCATGTAATGTCTCCTTACTCATAATTATTATTAGACGTGCAATTCATTAATTTTTAAAATCATCCATATTACAAATGATAGTCATGCCTTTTAATAATATCATTGTACTATGCTAACATTTAGGGATCTTGCAGGCTAAATTATTTTAGTCCGAAATATTTTTATAATAATATAAATTTTAAAAAATCGACTTCATCATTTAAAATTTTTACAAAATTTATTTGAGAATTTTTAGGGTTTCAAAATGCCTTCACTTAATAATTTAAAAATTGCCGTCAGTTGTTCTAGTAATATGAATAGAAGCATGGAAGCTCATGCTTTTTTGAGGTAAATTAATATGAGGCCAAAATACTTATATTTGGTTATTTAATATTTTTTCTCAATTGACAGGAGTGCTTATTATTTTTAATCAAGTTAATTCTTTAAATATTAAAAACTCTCTTAATTTTTTATTGATTTGTTCTTAATTTATGTAATTTAAAGTAATTACAGTTCAAATTTTGCAATATTATGTAACTTATTGTTGACTGAATTATTTTCCAGCAAAAAAGGTTTCTTTGTAAAATCATTTGGAACAGGTGATAAGGTTAAACTGCCAGGAACAGCTCCTGATAAACCGAATGTATATGATTTTGGTTGTTCATATGATGAAATTTATCAAGATTTGCTTAATAAAGATAAAACATTTTATACACAAAATGGATTATTACATATGTTAGATAGAAATAGAAGAATCAAATTGGGGCCTGAAAGATTTCAAAGTTGCATGGAAAAATTTGATATAATTATCACATGTGAGGAAAGAGTATATGATCAAGTTATTGAAGGTAAATTTTTTTTGAACAATACATAATTTTTTTTAAAAATAAAAATAATAAATACTCTGTTACATATTTTGTTTAAAGCTTTGGAAAATAGACCCAGCACTGAAAACACTCCTGTTCATATTATAAACATTGACATTCAAGATAACCACGAAGAAGCTACGATTGGTGCATTTTTACTCTGCGAACTTGTAACAAAGGTAAGCAGTTAAATGTTTCCTACTTTGTAATGAAAAACATTTTTTTTTCATGAGGAGCATTCTTAAAATAATAAAAAACATTAAAATTATTTATTTCAGTTGTCTCAAAGTGATGATTTAGATAATGACATTGATGAACTCTTACACGATTTCGAAGCTAAATGCGACAGAGCCATACTTCACTGTGTTATGTTTTACTAATCTTAAATGTTATGTAAAAAAAAAAACAAAAAATTAATTTTTTGTAAGGTTACAGTGTTTCAATGAACATTTATCTTGACATAGTTAGTTGTGACAACTCTACAATGTGCAAATATTATTTTACATTTTAATCCTTAAGTTTATTTTTCATGCATGAAAAATTTCAAATTAAATAATTAGTTTAGTTTTTTTTTTTTTCAATGAAATATATATGTAAAATAAAAGTGTTGTCATCATTATGCAGTTTTTATCTACCATACATAGTAAATTTTTATTTTATTATTGTCATCCTTTCGAAAAATATATCTAAATATATTTATTATTTTTAATTT